AGCACGCAGATCTTGTAATTCACTCCTGCTAAATATAAGGTCCAGCTGCCTGCAGTTAATGCCACAAAAGGTTAGCATAGGGGTCGGGTAATATCTGAACGTTGATTACAGTTTCGTATTGCTAGTATTATTTACGTAAGTTTCAATTAATTTAATTACTTGCCAAGTCTGGTCTAATTCTATGGTTACGATATAATTTTTAACTACAATATCAAGCATAACAGGAGTCAGCTCAGTGGATCTACTGCAATCAAAGAGAATTTTTACTACGCAAAGTAGCTTGTAGGCTACAGGCAGTACAGTACCAACTGTACCGAGTCTGAACCAGGCTGGTTAGCCAGATATTACCAGTGTGAGTGTGACTCGATATCGGCATTTGATTTGTGATTTAACACACGTCACGCACCCTGTGCTAACAAATATACTACATAATAATAAACAGTTATCAGGTGTATCGTCGTTGCTGAAAGCGGAATAGCGTACCACTGTAATGATGCCGAATAATACCTATTTAAATATTGTCAATATTATCAGCGAAAGGTTTAAATATCCCGACAGTCAACAACCTGGTGCGATTTAAAATATGACGTTTTGTAATAGATGTAAAAGTAGTGTCGACACAGCCGATTGCTACAACGACAACTCCAAAACGCTGCGTTGTCAGTCATATTACTTATGCGCCTCTCTGAGATACTACATCACAACACATACACCCTACATTGCGAGCATCTACTTACATCAGAGGCATCTACAGCTACCACAACACACACCACACAAACACACACAGCAAGAGGCGGCTCACAGTGGCCGCTAACCACCTTCAGACTGGTAAACTTCGCTCTCCGACAGTCGAGATTACCTCGATGGGGTCACTATTTTAGCCGAGAGGTGGAACCGGGTACCAGTCTTAGCCTACTCGTCCCTCGATCATGTCCAAGGGTGGACAACAGAGACGATGGCTGGCATGTTACGTTCTTTCCATGTCCATCGTTAAGTCTAAAGTCTTGTATTACATATCGCTAAATGCAGTTGAAGCAGCATCACGAACACCGAGAGACTGAACAGCTATTGGGATACTTAAAACAACATACATCTCAAACAGCACATTCAATCATCGACATATTCATGTCTATGTTATTGTGTGTTGTTGTTTTGTAATTTTGTTGGGTTGTGTTCCTGGGTTTTCTGTGTTATTTCTGTTTTTTGTTATTGTTGTTGTTGATTGTATTTTTGTTGTGTATGCTGTTTTGTTTATTGACTGTTTGCTGTGCGTTGATCTTTATGGGGCGTTTAATGATTATATCTAGGGTCAGGAAAAGGTGACCACTCCACTGCTGAACGAGTTAGTGCAACAGAGTGTGACCTTGAGGAGGTCATTCCCCCTTATGATCATGCTCGCATATGATAGTAGTGGTTACACTGTACTCATGGGAATGCTGGTTGTTAGCCGGGCTTTGATGCATGATGTGGCGTGACTCAATACTGCACATGAGGGCAAATTCCAGGGTTAGATTGTCTATCGGCCATCTGTATCTATTCTATATATCTATGCCGGCATAGTATACATTATGCACTCGCCAGGCACTTGCAGCGTTCAATAATATTACGCAGGGTCGTGTGCTGTACACTACACGACCCCTGCGTATATTTGATTGAGAACGCTTCAAGCTAGTGCCTGTGATGTCAGCTCTTCACTCTGCCGGAAGTGAAGCGATTCGAGAGGGCTCACGCACAAGATAGAGATTGATTGTCCAGGGGCGTCCATCAAAGATATATATTGGCAACTGGCAGTTAAAAACTTGCTAGCTATATTTTGCCTGTTGGCAGGTACGTGGACAGAGGGTGCTGAGGAGGCAGAAAAAAAGAATTGGGGTTTTTCGGCGAGATCCTGAGGTGCTGTGGCCGATGCTGCACTGAAACTCCTGACGACAAGGAACACGTGTACAGAGCTCTACAGCGTACTTGCCGCATTGACATCCAATCGTTAGTGTAGAACATAGCGTTACTTATGCGCACTCTCGTACTTTGTTGTATGTGTATGTCTTGTCTGCTCTTGTGCATTGATGCCGCGGCTTGATGGGCTGTCGCTCGTGTGCGTGCCGCGGGTGGTTGCACAATAATATAAACTTTTTTCTGAGCTATATATAGACATCTGACCATTACAAAATAACATTATCAAAAGTCACTCACTGATAATATGTGAAAAATAAGCATTCATGGTAGAATATGCATGAGTGTAAGCAAACTAGTTTAAATGTGGTATAAATCGTGCTGATTGCAGATCCAGTTTGGTGAAATCCAGATCAATATGGGTGATATACCTGGAGTAGTA